ATAATTCGCAAGTCGGAAGGAACGAGAAGCGGGAATGATATTCTGATTTGCTTTCTCTCCCCCCCCCCATCCTCTACCCCCAACCCCCCTCCCTTCCTTTTTTTTTCTTTTACTCCGTCTTGTGAGGAAACTAATTGCACATCTGAGGCCCTTTGCACGGGGGAGGAAACGCGTGTCGAATATACACAGGGCCTCGTTGCTTTCGCTTTCCCCAGCCTCAAACCCGGGGAATTTACGGTTTATTGACGACGAGTTTGAGTTGAGGTTTCATGCTGATTGAGTGGAGCTTGTAAGTCAACCTCGCTAATCAACCACCGTTTCGTATTTACACTAATTAATCAAACGGGGACTTGATGATGGCGTCTTTCTCTTAAAGGTGGAGGTGCGGTAGGGTGAGGGAGTGTGGGGGGGGAGGGGAGGGGAAAGGGGGGAGGGGGAGACCTCTCTCTCTCTCTCTCTGCCCAAGCTTCTCCTGATTCCCCTCTTTCTCTCCTTTCGTCTTTCCCTCGTTCGCTTTCCTCTCTCTCTCTCTCTCGTCTTTCGCTTCTTGTCTCTTGTTTTCTTGTCTTTCGTCTCTCTTTTCTCTTTCTCTTTCTCCTTCCTTCCTCTCTCTCTCTCTCTCTCTCTCTCTCTCTCTCTCTCTCTCTCTCTCTCTCTCTCTCTCTCTCTCTCTCTCTCTCTCTCTTATTCATGTGATATGTAATGGCGTCCAGGTGGTGGCGTAGAGAGAGGAGGGGGAGATGGGGGGGGGTATGAGGGTATGGTATCAGCGCGGAGGGATTGGGGGGGTGGGGGTATCGGCGGAGGGGGCGTTGGGGAAGGGCAGGGCGCGTGGGGCAGGCGGGGCGGAGCGTGGCGAAGGGCGAAGACGGGACCGTGCGCTTGTGAGGACAGTCTTCGTGGTGCCCTAAGCGAAGGGGACCGAGGAGAGAGAGAGAGAGAGGGGAGTTTTCGCTTCGGCCGAAGGAGGAAGAAACACCATTTTCATATATTTTTTTTTCTTCCCCTGTCTGTATCTCCCACATTCCAGGATGTGGTTCTATGAAGTCCAGCTTTGCCGATCAATACGGCTGGACGAACCAAATGGTATGTGTCGTCCCATTCTGCGGTCGGTGGCTTCAGACTCGGCTTCAAACGGCGGTCTTGGACTCGGACGACGTATAACCAATTTATATTTTGCACTTTTCGCACGTTTAAAAGGAAGGAGGGGGGGAGAGACGATCGTGAATGGGCTTATTCATGATAAGAGGCAGAATTCTCCATCTCCGACTATCAGTTCCGAGCACGAGCGAGGGAGGGTCGTCACCAATCCGAAGCTGTGGCCAGAGCGGAGGGATCGGGACGCGCGCCCTCGAGCTGAAGGGCCCTCGAGGAGCCCGCTGGGCGCTCCATGGAAAAACAACATAGCCGTGACAGCGCCAGAACCACCACCACCACCGGCGCTCCCACCGGGCCCCCTCCCTCCCCCAGCGGCCACTACCGCCACATGGGGAAAAAATTCCAGCTTACGGCTCTTATCAGGCAGCTGGAGAGCCATCCGGCACTGTAGTCTCGGCTAACGAAGAGGAAAACGTTGAGGAAAATTGGTCTCGACGGCCTTGGCTGGGCCCCGCGCCCTCCTCGCGTGCCGCCCTCGCTGGAGTGGCGGCGGTCATACTCAAGATTTCCAGATCAAGAGAAGGATTCGAACAGATCAACAACAGCAGGAGTCACCGGGCCCTTCCTGAGGCGGCGACTCGATGCCGATTCGGCGGGAGAGGCCGGCGGGGAGTCTGCTTCCGGCGGGTCGGGGTAGACGGCGGGCATCGTCGGCGGCGGGTCGCTCGGCGCCTGTCTTGTTTATCGGATGTCCGTTCGAGGAGAAGCGTTCCGGCCAGTCCGCCTCGCACCGGCAACGAGCCCAGGCACCAGCGGGGTCAGAATATCTTCATCGGAACGCGCCACCTTACCACACCTCTCCTTACCCTTCTCCTCCTCCTCCTCGTCCTTCTCTTCTTCCTCTCCCATCTTCTCCTCTTCCATCTTCTCTCCTTCCTTCTCCTCCTCCTCCTTCTCTTCCTCCCCCTCCTTCTCCTCCTCTCCTCCTCCCTGAAACATCTCCGTGCACTTTCAAAGGCCAAACCAAGAAAAATAAACATCCTCGAGTATCCAGCCACGTCACTGTTATCACTCGTGCCCTCCTGTACAGTTGTGGTATGAATGCATAACGAGGGATTATCAAGAAGCGAGTCACGTCGCCCTGACACTCGGTCTCCCTCGGCCCGACGGGTCACAAAAGTCTCTCGGGGAGTCACTGGTTCACAAACGCTTCTCCGCATTACGGCAAATACCCGGCCTTTGTTGCACGCTGCCTTGTCTCAACGTCTCCCTCGGTGCGATCTCCCCTCCCCCCCGCTCCCCCGCCCCTCTTTTTTCTCGTTCGGTCGTGGAGGGGGGGAGGGGGGGAGGGGAGGTTCGAGGTGTCGGCCCGGAATACCAATGACTAGTTTTATTTCTCTTTCTCCCCTCCTTTATTTCCAGGAGTTTGTGTGATCACAGTGATGTGCAATTTGGACGAGCTTTCTTAAGTTAAAAAAAAGAAATAACGTATCCCTTTTTTTTCATCATTTTTATCTCAAAATAGAATCATTCCTGTTGATCGCTTATATGTGTTTGTTATTCTCTTTTTTCGTCATTCACGTGTGTTTTTTTTTCTTCTTCTTTTCTTTATTTTTTGTTCTATCTTTCGTACTCCTTGGCCTGTATTTTTAAGTTTAGGCGTCCAGGTGTTTCCTCCAAGTGAAGAGAGGAGGGAGGACGAGAAGGGGGGGGGGGCAAGTGGAGGGGGAGGGGGGGGGGCGCAATGAAAGGGAGTGAGGCTAAAGAGAAAGAGGGAAGGAAGGGGGAATTACAGAAACACACAGAGAGACAAAGATAGATAGATAGGTAGGTAGATAGATTGATAGATAGATATATAGACAGATAGACAGATACACAGATAGGTAGATAGATAGATAGATCGATATCTCTCTCTCTCTCTCTCTCTCTCTCTCTATATATATATATATATATATATATATATATATATATATATATAGAGAGAGAGAGAGAGAGAGAGAGAGAGAGAGAGAGAGAGAGAGAGAAAGACAGAGAGAGAGACAGAGTGAAAGAGATAGACAGAGAGAGAGAGAGAGAGAGAGAGAGAGAGAGAGAGTGAGAGAGAGAGAGAGAGAGAGAGAAAGAGAGAAAGAGAAAAAAAGAGAGAGGGGGACGGGGGAAAGGGAAAGCGAAGGAAGGGAAAAACAAGAAGCAGAAATGTAAGGAGTGAGAAAAACCCTCCGGATCCAGTCGCTAACAGTAACAAAAACAAGCATCCTGCTCTCTCGTCCTTGAAGGAGGAGGAGGAGGAGGAAGAGGAGGAGGAGGAGATGGAAGAGGAGGAGGAGGAGGAGGAAGAGGAAGAGGAAGAGGAAGAGGAAGAGGAGGAGGAGAAGGAGGAGGAGGAGGAGATGGAAGAGGAAGAAGAGGCGTAGGAGGAGTAGGAGGAGGAGGAGATGGAAGAGGAGGCGGAGGAGGAGGAAGAGGAAGAAGAGGAGGAAGAGGAGGAGTGGGAGGAAGAGGAGAGGGAGGAGGAGAGTAATAAAGAAGAAGAAGAAATGATGTTGGGCAAAACAGGAAGAATGGCAAAGAATAACCGAAACAAAAGACGGTGTAAGAGGAAAAGGAGTGACAATAATAGTAGGGAGAGGAGGCGGACGTAAATCAGAGAGAGGAGCAGGAGGAGAAGGAGGAGAGGGGGGGGGGAGAGAGAATGGGGGTTCTCATACCTTTCTGAACCTCTTGAAGATGTTTAGGTTCCAGCCAGGGCCTCCCTCAATACCGGTGTGTGAGGGGGAGGGAGGGTGTTTGAAAGAAAGAGAGAGAGAGAGAGAGAGAGAGAGAGAGAGAGAGAGAGAGAGAGAGAGAGAGAGAGAGAGAGAGAGAGAGAGAGAGAGAGAGAGAGAAAGAGAGAAAGAGAGGCAGAGCAAGAGAGAGGAAGGAAAAAAGGGAGAAAAGAAAACAGAAAGGAAGGAGAGAAAATGCAACGTAGAAAGGAATTGAACAGAAGGGAGAGGGGAGAGACCAAAAGAAACCAAGAAACAGAGAAGGAGTTAAACCGATATACTCTCAGCCTTCACCGATAAAAAAAAGAAAGAAAATAGAAAAAAAAAAATCCGAACACTCATGAAAGGGAATAAAAGCACAGCGTAAGTAAAGGGAGACCTGTCCTGTGTTCTGAACTCACGCTTCTGGCTAATGGCTCTCTTCGTCTCCTGCTTATGGTCTCCTCGCCCCGTGCCATGTCGTAAGCATAGTTTTTTTTTATCTATTTATCTATTTTTTTTTACGTGTCCTTATTCTTCGTCGTGTTTGAGAATAGTCTGATTGAGGAAATTCCTTTCTGGCTATCGCTATTTCAAGTTACAGGCGTCTTTGGAGAAGGTTGGTCGGTTAGTTGCCAACTAAGGTTTTCTTCTCTTCCTTTACATGGCTGAATCGAGGCAAAAGGAGATCGGAAAGCTTGGCTAAACTCGCTTTTGTGTGCAAGTTTGACGTGCAGCATAACCTACCCCGTTAAGTGTCAATTGATCTGATACTTTTTATCGAGTTGTCGACCTGTTATTGCCTCTGTTCCCTAAGAGCATGAATTAGCTGTGTCCCAGTTCGATAAACGGGGTCATTACCCTGCCACTACAAATGATGTAGGACCATTACACTGCCCTTATTAAATAGCACGCGTCCTCCGCACTGACCCGTCGGTCGCCTTACCCAGCAGACGTGTTCCTCCCCTGGCGAGATGCGCGGACGCCCCTGCCCCTGAGGGAAGCCCACCTCGCCCGTTCCATGCGGCAGGGATTAGGATCATACCGGAACGCCCACGAAGCTCTTCCCCCCCAATCCCCACGCCCTTCTCTCTCTGTCCTCTCGCTTCCTCCGGCCTTCCCGTCCGCCCATCTCTCGCTGTCTACTCTCTCTCCCGCTTACCACGCGCGCTGGTGGTGGAGGTAGGCGTTGTTGGCGTTGTGATGGAGCGGCGTCATGGAGGGGAAAGCGGAGGCGCTGACGGGCGTGGCGGAGCCCTGGCTGCGGAAGGGGTCGAGGGCGGAGGCCGGGTCGCACGTGAGGTGGCTCGGCAGGAGGCTCGAGGTGTTGGAGGCCGCCAGGCTGGAGGACGACGTCGAGGAGGAGGTGTCGCGGTGGTGACCCAGCTTGCCCTCGCCGCCGCCCGCTGCCGAGGAGGAGGTCGAGGACGAGCCCTTCGTGGCGTTCTCCTCCTTCACCAGCACCGGCACCGAGATCCTCCTGGGGGACGCGCTCTGGGGGGGCACAGGAGGCGAAAGACGTTAGTTCCGGAGGTGGAGGCGGTGAGGAAAAAAACGTTTATTTAGCCAGAACTAAATAAACGGTGAAAATTTAAAGGTAAATGTTGAAAGATAATTCGACACTAAGACAAGGAGGAGGATAATGAGAACTCAGAGTAAAGTATTTGCAGAATGATAAATTTGCAATAAACGGGATAATCGAAAGGAGTGAATTATATTTCCCTAGTAATGTGAAATATTAACTATGTGTATTACGATAGGCACACACACACACACACACACACACACACACACACACACACACACACACACACACACACACACACACACACACACACACACAAAGAACCTTCCAGCCCCGAATAATTCCAAGACAATCACCTGGTTAGAAGAGGTAGTCTGTTCTGACATGGCCTTCTCCTTAGCTGCTCTCTTCATCTTGTAGCGGTGATTCTGGAACCAAATTTTGACCTGCGAAGGCGAAGAGAAATGGGTCAGGGTTGTGTTGTTATAATGGTTTTGTAAAATTCATGATATATATGCTTTGTTGTTAGTTATGTATATTTATATGCGGGGTGTCTAGTGTCCGCGCCCGGTCAGCCCCTCTCAGCCAACTCAGCTGTGGTCGGGTACCGGCATTAGCATGCTGGGGTCAAATGTCTGAGAGGAACTGGTTATCCTACTGTATTATCTTGCGGTTAAAGATAAACGTTTCTTTACAAACATGACCCCTAAGTACAATAGGATATAGGACCAACTTCACTTGATGTTTCCGTGTGTCTCTGCGAGTGTATGTGCGTGTACGTAAATGTTTGGAAGTGTATATGTATGTGTGTACGTGTATGTGTTTGTGCGTGAGTGTACATAAATACATACATACATACACTCACACACACACATACATGTATACATACATTATATGTATTTTATTTTTCTTATTTTTTGTGTCTGTGATTTTCGTCCACATCTTTTTGTCTTTTCTCTGCCTGTCATTACTTCCAAGAGAAAAATCTAAGAAAATAGAAAAGTAGAAGTAGGAGGAGGAGGAGGAGGAGATGGAGGAAGAAGAAGAAGACAAAGAATAAGAGGAGGAGGAGAATTATAATGATAATGATAATGATTATAATAATAATAATAATGATGATAATAACAACAGCAACAACAACAATAACAACAATAATAATAATAATAATAATAATGATAATGATAATAATAATAATGATAATGATAATAATAATAATAATAATGATAATAATAACAACAACAATAATAATAATAATAATAATAATGATAATAATAATAATAATAATAATAATAATAATAATAATAATAATAATAATGATAATGATAACAATAACAATAATAATGATAATGATGATGATAGTAATAATAACAATAATGATAATGATAACGATAATAATAATGATAATGGTAACAATAATGATGATAATAATAATGATCCTTCCCTACCTTCTTTCCCCCCCCCCCCTCTCTCTCTCTCTCTCTCCTCTCTCTCTCTCTCTCTCTCTCTCTCTCTCTCTCTCTCTCTCTCTCTCTCTCTCTCTCTCTCTCTCCATCAAAGGGTTGTCGTCGAAGCTTTCACCACTTACTCAGTTCTAATGAGGCGACGATCCTTACAAGTCTCTCTCTTTCTCTCAATCTTTCTCTCTTTATATCACTCTTATCTTTTTCGACTTTTATCACCCTCTCTTCATCTCTCCTTTTTTTTCTCCCTCTGTTCTCTCTTTGCCTCTCTTTGTCTGTTTGTTTATCTGTTTGTCTGTTTGTTTGTCTGTCTGTCTGTCTGTCTGTCTGTCTCTCTCTTTCTCCCTCTCTTTCTGTGAGATCTTCTGTTTTTGTCTGTCCGCCTGTCTGTTTGCCTGTCTGTCTAATGTGTCTAAATGAGTACATATTTTTACCGTTTTTGTCTTATCATTCTTAATCATTTTTTCTAATATATGTGATCGAATATTATGCTTTCTACATTTTTTCGTTCTAAAACTGTTAAAAGTTAAGAGAGAGAGAGAGAGAGAGAGAGAGAGAGAGAGAGAGAGAGAGAGAGAGAGAGAGAGAGAGAGAGAGAGAGAGAGAGAGAAAAGAGATGAAGAGAGAGAAAGAGAGAGAGAGAGAAAGAGAGAGAAAAAAAAAAGAGATGAAGACAGAGAGAGAGAGAGAGAGAGAGAGAGAAAGAGAGAGAAAGAGAGGAGCATACAAACCCACAAACACATGTATGCCACTCACTCCCCCCCCTCCCCCCCTCATCCCCCTCATCCCCACGCAAGTTCCTTAGATCATCTGTCTCATCTGTGAGGATATTACTTCCCATCATCCATTGACACACATATACTGCATATATACCCCCTCCCCCCCCCTTTTTTTGTCCCATTCTCCCCTTCCCCTCCCTCCCCCCCCCATCCCCTCCCCTCCCCCTCTCCCTTTGCAACTCATCTACGGCGGTGCCCTTTTCTTCCCCTTATCCGTCGATATTGCACACGCAGGGGGTGGTTCTCCCTCCCCCCTCCACCCCCACACACAACAATCCTCGGAGACAATCCCGAAGACACTAGAGGGAGTTTTAGCTCGAAAGCAATTGCAATCTTAATCCGGTGTGCGGTGACAATGTCTTCCGCGAGTCTTTGATCCCGCCGCCCACACAAAGGAAACCGCCCTCATCTGCCGCTTGCATCCTTTGGGCGGCCCTTCCCTACCCTCCCCTACCCCTCCGCCTCCCTCCTCCCTTCGTCCCTCCCTCTTCCCCTCTCCCTCCTCTGCATGTCCCCATCCCTTCCTCTTACCCCTACTCCTCCCCCCCTTCACCTCCACCCCCACCGCCCCCGCTAACACATGTTGCACATACTGGCCTTTGCAACAAGGGGCATTGGCAAGGAGGGGTAGTGACGTAACACATGTTTAGCGTCCTGTTGTTGGAAGGGTTGTCTGACAAAGCGCTTTCACATTTTATCTTTTATTTCTCTCATTCTCTCTCTTTCTCTCTCTCTCTCTCTCTCACACACACTCTCTCTCTCTCTCTCTCTCTCTCTCTCTCTCTCTCTCTCTCTCTCTCTCTCTCTCTCTCTCTCTCTCTCTCTCTCTCTCTCTCTCTCTCTCTCTCTCTCTCTCTCTCTGTGAATCACTTTGGGAAATACGCGATGTCTTCAGATGCATTGCCAGTTTGTTTGCGTTTCCACATGTCCTTGTAGATCTGGTGAGAGTGACGAAAATGCTCATAAGTAAAAAAAAAAATATCGCAAAATGTCCTGAAGTTGGCTGAAGTTCCTCTCTGCAAACACACTTTCCCGGGATATCGATGTATTAAAGCTCTTTGATGAGACGTAATCTTTTGGTGTCTGGTGATATTAGATATGTTATCTGTTAGGGTGTAAGGTGTATGCATATTGCCACATAAACACTTGCGCACGTGAATTCTTTAAGCATATTGCATATGCTAACATGTATATAATGACATGAATATATCACACACAGACTCAAACATATTCATACATGTGGGCAAACACACAAACACACACACATATAACTATAAACACTTGCACACATACACACAGGCAAACATACAAACAAACAAACACTCCACACATCCATAATCACAAACGAACAAGCACTCAAGACGCACAAATACCACACCCATACACAAACACACACATACACCCCCGCAAAAAAAATAAGAAAAAAACATTAAAAATAATAAATAAACAAAAAGAAAACAAACACACAAACAGCAGAAATAAATTAATAGATAAACAGAAAGAAAACAAACGCACAAACAGCAGAAATAAAAGCATATATTCACACACAACAAATATTACACACAATGGGACAAATTCAAGTCAACAAAAAGACGTTTCCCACAATCTCTACCTTCTGAACGTTGTCCAACTTGAGTCGAAAGTTTGCTAATGGACGAGGGGGAGGTGGGGGGTGGAGAAAGAGAGAGAGAGAGAGAGAGAGAGAGAGAGAGAGAGAGAGAGAGAGAGAGAGAGAGAGAGAGAGAGAGAGAGAGAGAGAGAGAGAGAGAAGAGAGTGAGGGAGAGAGAGAGAGAGTGAGTGAGAGAGAGAGAGAGAGAGAGAGAGAGAGAGAGAGAGAGAGAGAGAGAGAGAGAGAGAGAGAGAGAGAGAGAGAGAGAGCAGAGGAGAGCACAAGGCAAATTAAACAACCAGAAACAGATTAAAAGAGAGAGAAAGAGAGAGAAAGAGAGAGAGACAGAGACAGAGAAAGAGACAGAGAGAAGAGAATACATACCAGCAATGAGATGAAAAGGTTGGGGAGGGGGGGGGGAGAGAATGGGGGGGAGGAGGGTATATGAGGTAATAATAAGCAATAATAGGAAGAGGAGAATGAGTGCAAAAAGGCGGAAAGAAGAGGGAGGGAAGGGAACGCGCAGATGATGATGATAACAATAATCGACGTGGTGTAGGTGGGCGTGGGAGGGAGTGTGATAGATAGGGGAGGGAGGAGAGGAGGGAGGGAAGGGAGGGAGGGAAGAAGAGTGAGGGAGTGAGGGAGGGAAAGGGAGGAAAGGAGGGAGGGAAGAGGAGGGAGGGAAGAGGAGGGAGGGAGTGAGGGAGGGAGTGAGGGAGGGAAAGGGAGGAAAGGAGGGAGGAAAGAGGAGGGAGGGAGTGAGGGAGGGAGTGAGGGAGGGAAAGGGAGGGAAGGGGAGGGGAGAGGATTGAGGGAAGGAGGAAAGGAGGGAGGAAAGAGGAGGGAGGGAGAGAGGGAGGGGAGAGGAGGGAAGGGAGGGAAGGGAGGGAAGAGAAGGGTAGATGAAGGTAGACGAGGGACAGAAGGGGAGCTAAAAGGGAGGGAAGAGGAGGGGAGGGAAGGGAAGGGAAGGGAGGAGGGAAAAGAAGAGGGGGAGAGGAGAGGAAAGGACGGAGGGCATAAAGGATAGGGAGGAGGAAAGAGAGAGATGGAAGGGTAGGGAGAGTAGAAAGAGATGAAAAACGAAGGGGAGGAGGAAGGGAAAAGGAGACAGGGGAGGAGAGGAAAGGAGGGAGGGAAGTAGAGGAAGTAGAGAAAAGGAAAGGGTGATGAAAACGAGAGAGGAGGAGGAAAGGGGGGGGGGAGGAAGAGAAATTCAGGAAGGAAAGAAGGGGAGTAGGAAAACAGAGAAAGAGAAAAAGGGAGAAAGGAGAAGGGTAAAGGAACTGGAAAATGAAAGGGGAAGAGGGAAGGGGAGAAAAGGGGGAGAACGAGAGAAGGGACGAAAGACGAGAGAAGAGCAAGGGGAAGAGGCAGTGAAGGGGAGGTGGGAGGGAAGAGGAAGAAGAGGGTAGGGGAGAAAAAAATTGCATATGAGGAATGGAAGGAAGGGGAGAATGGAGAGGCAGAGAAGGACTGAAGGAACGAAAGATAAGAGAGAAGGAAAGGACAAAACGGAAAAAGGGTTAAATTTAAGGAAGGGAAAAGGAAAAAGGGAAGAGGAGAGAGAACACTCAAGAAATACACGCGGGGAATGGGGAAGGAGTACCCAAGAACGAAAGGAATAGAGGCAAAAATTAATAAAAAGGAAGTATTGTAGAGTTAAGGAAAGTAGAAAGGAAGTAGAGAAAAATAAAGAGAATGAAGGGGGAAGTAGAAGGAAGTAGAGAGGAGTAGCAAGAAATGGAAAAGAGAAAAGGGGAGTAAA